CTTGGTGTAAGAAACCCATTATTAGCTTTTGGCAATCAGTCATAATAGGTCCCAATGTAGCCAACCATTGGACGCCCAGTACCATATCCACCCCTTGTAATTCCAAGAAAAATAAATCCACTGAAAATCGGTGACCCTGAATATCTAAAGGAACAAATTGACGCATGGCTGAGCAATTGAGTGAGTTACCGTTCCCCACTTGCACTTTAAATGGTGGAATAGATAACAAGGTTAGGTGCAAATGAGTAGCTACTCTAAGAGTGATGAAATTGTGTGTGCTGCCACCATCAATTAAGATTTGGACCGACTAACCAACGACAATACCTAATAAACATAATGATTTCGAGTAATAAGTGCCAAATAAGGCATTAATACTAATCTCTGGAATATCCTCGGACTCCTCTAGTTGTGCGTGTGATTAAATGATTGGAGTAGTAGAATCAAGAGGCTCATCCTCCTCGGCTCCTTCTAAATACAAGAGAGAAGCTTGTGCCTTGCATTTGTGGCCATAAACAAATTTCTCATCACAGTTGAAGCAGAGACCCTTATCACGTTCAACCTGCATCTCTGCTTGACTTAAATGACGAATGAGAATAGCTAGGATAGGTTCGGTGGAGTTGGAAGTTGTGAGGGCTAGTGGGTTGTTGGTTTTTGTTTGGGAGAAAGATGGAAGTTGGGAGACTTGGGTAATGGGAAAAGACTATTTAGAGAGCCAAGGGCACATGGGTTTGTCATCACCAAGTTGGTCTTCAAAAACTCTGGCTAGAGCTAATGCCTCATGCCAGTCACCAGGATGTTGAGTTAAAACCGAACGTTGTATGCACGGTTTGAGCCCGAAAATGAACAGGCCACATTTCATGGTGGCAGATAGGCCATGAACTTTGTTGGCGGAAGCCTCAAATGCTGATTAATAATCAGCCACAGAACCCTGTTGCTGTAGCTTAGCAAGGGCACCAATGGGTTCATCAAATTCAGAAGGCCCAAATCGCCTATGTAACGTTGTGACAAAAGCAGACCATGTGGGAAGTAACCCTTCATCACTAAGACCCCTAAATCAACAAGCTGTAAGGACATCTAAATGGAATGCGACAATCAATAAACGTTCGTCTTCCCTGATTTTATAATATTGGCAGTATTTTTGTCCATAACAAATAACTAGGAAGTGGGATCACCAGAAGTAAATCTTAGAAAAGTGAGTTTAAAAGGACGAGAGTTACCCAGATCTGTGTTACTGGTGTGAGATTTTGAACCTAGTCTAGATCCCAGTATTCCCGAATGAGAATACGCACCGTGATTCTGTCCATCAAGGATCCGTTGCAATGTCTGCTGGATTTGAGTGTGGGACTTATGAAGGTAGGCATTAGACTCTTGGAGTCCTAAGTGCTGCTGCTTGCGAACCAATTCCGCGGAACGAATCTGTTGTTCTAGTAGATCTAAACGATGATTTTGTTGTTCCAGAACATCCAATCGTTGTGTTTAATCTCTCATCCGTGTGTTTTTCGCCATAAAAAGGAAGGATGGGTAAGCAACGAGAGCACCAAAATGTAGCAATGAATTTGAGAATTTTTAGAGATAGAAGATACTTAGAAGAGAAGAAGGATAAGAATAGAGAGAGAAGAGACATTAGAAGAGATGAAGGATAAGAATAGAGAGAGAAAAGACAGGAGAAAGAAAATTTATTCAAAGTCTGCATAACTTTTTCCTTTTCCCTAACAACCATATATTGCCCTATTCATAATGGGCCCCTTAAACAATTATAAACCACTCTGACCGATTACAATATAAGAATTAAAAGACAACTTGGTTAACTCCAACAGCCCAAGACTACGTCTACATTAATTGGTCTCGTAATCCTTTAGATACTGGGGCTTCTTGTGGGTCCTTTTAGCTAAGCCCAACTCACTATAAGGTCCGTTACACAGTGTCATTTAATTTTATGGTAAATTTTCAAAATACAATTTATCAAGTAAAGTAATCAATAAGGTGTAGGTCATGCATATACACCTATGATGCACGGACACTGACACGAGACACGGGACACGACATGACACGACACGACACGCCGGCACGTTAATTCTAAAAAATGACATATTTTGACACGTTGGGACACGTTTTGATATTAAATAATATAATTTATATTTAATACATATAACAGTTCATAATTAATCATATAACCAATCAAATATTCAAATTTCATAACATAAATATAAAAAATAATAATTTTTCGTACCTTGTTAATTTTTCATGTCAAATTTCATAACAGAAAAAAATTGATTTATAAATGATTTTTTTTTATTTTTAGTTAATAAAATAAAATTAAGACTAAAAAAAAAAAAAGTGTCCGAGCGTGTCCGAACGTGTCCGAACGTTGACCACGTGTCCGAAAAAGTTGACTGCGTGTCAAAAAAACGTGTCAAAGCGTGTCGGAGAGTTGACCACGTGTCCCAAAATATTGACCGCATGTCAGACGCATATCCGAACGTGTCGGAGCGTGTCCATGTCAGACACGTGTCCGACACGCCATTTTAAAAAAAAATTGCGTGTCCGGATTTCTTAGATATACACCACCATTCTGTCATTGACATATTTTTAGTACAAATCAATGGTTCAGAACACTTGAACATCCATGCTCCCAAAAAGTTGTGTACCAATCCAAATCACTTAATCGGGAAATGAATTTTTTTATGTTAAAATTTTATAAGATCTGATTATATTAAATTTTTATGTTAGTTTTTTTCTTCACATATATTAAATAAGTGAAATTTAATTATTATTAATAAAAAATTACGTAAATATTTCATATAATCAAGTCATATTAAATTTTAAGAAAATCCATTCCTATTAGAAAAAGGACCGTGATGTGCTCACAACCTATCAACATAATATTCCCGTCAACTTTCAGCTTCCAATTCCATACGATGTTCACCCAAAAAAAAAAAACTAAAGACATAAAAAAAGGACCAATTCTTTATTAGGTCCTCTGCTTTCGTAATTAAATAAAATACATTGTTAAGAAAATGTCATATAAGGAAATAAATAAATGGATAAATTTATGTTATTGAAACATTTTTATATTTTCATTAATTTTTTATACTAATAATGGCAGGGAACGTTGAATGTAATTTTTTTTTTGTAAATTATATAAATATTTATGGGTTCATTTTTTCTGCAGTTACTGTAGATAAGTTATTTGCACTAAGCCCAATACGATGTCGTTTTGGGGTGAAAATCATGATATTTTTGTAATTTTAATTTATTTCAGAGTTATAATAGTCTTTATATTTATAATTTTTTAATATTTCAATACCAAAATGACGTCGTTTTGAAAATAAATGCTGATAACTTATCTGCAGTAACTCAGAAATATTTTTGCCAATGTTTATTACTAATTGTGTTAATGGAATATTATTTCAGTATATTCAATTTTTTTTTTCTTTTTTATCTACAATGGATAGATAAATATTTATTCTTATGTTTTTGCTTAATATATTTAAAAAAAAAATCAAAGGATAAGTAAATATTCAAAATTTACCTAAATATACATAGAAATTAGAAACTAGAAAAATATCTGTAGCCCGAAAAATGTTATCACAACTGTTAATAAGAAAACAAATTCTTCTCTTGTAGACCCCACTTTCAAAAGGGAATCGACCTTCTTTAAATTGCCAATGCCCTCGGGCTTCTTTGTATTTGGATATTTATATTTTTTTTTTGGTAAAATCTTTGTATTTGGATTTCGTAGCTATACTAAAAAATGCCATAGACCATTATTTATTAATTAATTAATTTTTTATTTGTTAATTAAAAAATTATGAAAACAAATCATGAGAAAAACATGTTAATTGAATATTAACATTTCGAGTATTTTAATAAAGACTAATTTAATCAAACATATTTCTTTATATAATTAAAACCATATATAAAAAGGACGGAATATTTGGTTTTCTTCACTTAATTTATCGAAATATAAGTTAAAAAAATGGTATTCAAACTTTCAGTCCTAAACAACAAAAGCTGCTATTAAATTAAATATTAAAGAGTTAAAAATAAAAATATGAAATGAAAGATAGAAATACTTAATATGTCAATAATTCAAAAAATATTTAATATTTTATCCTTTTAGGTTCTCAGCATATTCTTTTTAATTTGTGGTTTTAATTTTTTAAATTTTGTCTATTATTTTAAAAAATTATGCCATCAATCCTTTTCTACCTCCATTATCATTCTAATAACTAAAAAAAATAATAAAATGATAATAATATTTTCTTCAAACTGAAGAGTGATAATAATAATAATAATAATGTAAAATTTAATAAAGAAACAATCGGCTATAAAAAAAGAAAAGAAACAATCATTCAATAACCATTTGATTATAAAATCGTTGGAAAGCAGGGGTGCTAAACGAAGGCCTAAGATTAAATGTCTAAAATTGGTTGTTGGCACCAGACTTGAACTTGTATAAAAGCTCGTTTAATAAAAAGGTCTCAGACTCCACTTCAAAAGCTCGGCCTTAGAGCTTCCCAGGCTAGCCTAGTATATTATTATTATTTTTTATTTTATATTTTTTATACTATTTGTAATAGCCCTATCTTTCTCCTCAATCCATTTCACCCCAATTTATTGGTTAAACAGATTTTTTGAATGATTTTACTCTATATTATGTTTTTTGAATATACATTGAATTTACCAATATTTATGGAATTACTAGTGTTGTTGATTGTATATTCTGTTTGAATGAATTTTTGTTGTCTTATTTTTTCTAAAAAGGCTATCAGGCTAAATCGGGCTTTTAATTTTTATAAATAAGCTAGGCCACATGCCGATAATTATATTTATAACAGGTAACAGGCTTAGTCAGGCTGACACATTTAAACACAGACTTAACCTTTTAAGACCAAAGCTCGGTTCGGCTCGGCTTGTTGGAAAGGAATAAACATGACCCACACGGCGAAAATTGGGTAGTTAATATTTAGGCCCAATGGGCCGAATAGCGCTAGCTAGGCTGGCATTGAGTGACGATAGACGAAGGCTTTTGACAGAGATGTGTGTTTTGATTTAACAGCCGCACGGAACGGAGGACCCCAGAACCACCACCTCGACCGGCGAAATCCGCAACTGTAAGCGACCGCTAAAACGGACATAGAACGCCGTTAGGTAATATCGAAGTTGAATTCTCAGATTACCGATTCAGCAACAAAACACAGATCAGATATATAGTAATATATTTGTCTGTATTTTGCTTTTTAATTTGGATCCACTCTGACAATTGCTCAATTCAGACTTTCAGAAAACACTCGTTTTTTCTGTGGTTGTTTTTCGTAACAGATCTGGTTTTATTTTATTTTTTTTGTAATTTTTTGTGCTTTTTGTTTTTTTTTCTTTTAAAACTTGATGCTATAATTTGCATGGCAGATTTTCTACCTTGCTTTGGATAACAAAAGGAAAAAAGAAGAAGAAGAAGAAGGAAAATACTAATTCAGCCTCTTCATAATTTAACTGTTTTAAGTTCAGCCAAATTGTCAACAAATGTTTGCTCACTATATAGCATGAACTGCTAACAACTTTGATGGGGGAATGCTCACTGTAATTCACGCGATAAGGGGGAATGATGTTTTAGAAACTTAGAGTTAGATTTTGATTCCTTTTAAAGCTAAAGTTGTATAAAAAAGATTTTCATGTTCTTTGATCCATTTCTTATTTTCTTGTCTTGCTTTACATTGCTGGTTTTATTGCTGCTATATTGTTATTCTGCATCTGATAACTTTTCTTTCTTTCTGAGTATGCAGTCTTAAATAGTGAACACTAAGATTTCAAGAGTCACTGCCGTGACATGTTAATTTTTTCTGCAACTCTAAAATTTCTATTATTAATGAATGAATTTGCTCTCACAACTCTAAAATTCAATGATTTTTTTAAACGAGATTGATTTTCTTTATAATTTGCTATTTAAAATGTGTAGTTTTTGCCATTTTTTTTTTTCTTGTAGTGAATATGATAGAAAGCAAGTGGGAAAATAGATTTTGGTTCCATCAAGTATCTTGCGATCTGCTTAGCGTTATCTTTATAGAATGTTAGGACTGCTATGTATTTGCACTTTGCATCACGTTTCTATTTTCTCAATTTGCAGTCTTAATATTAAAACCTGAGGCTTGAAGGGAAGCTGCTATGCTTGGCTAGGTAAAACAATCCTATTATTTTGTAGTTGAACACTGAAGTTTTTGTTTTCTTGAATAGGGAATTCAATGAATTTTTTCAATTCGTATCTTAGAAAACTCAAATCCTTGACTCTTTTTAATTACTTTGATTTTCTTTTCTACAGCCAAATTGGTTTGAGCATTTTACGTTTGACAGTAAAATAGTATTGAGAAGTCCAATTTTGCTGTTGGTTCTTTTTGCACAAGACATATTGTTTTGGTGTATATGTGCACTTTGTTAAACAAAGAGAGGAAGGAGGATTCGATAAAAGTAGCTGCATATGGATTAGTTCTTTTACTCTATTTTCAAAGAATATTGTTTCTTTTTAAGATTTTTTGTTTCTGCCCTTTACTTTATCTTTTTAAATCCTACAATTAACACATGGACCACAAGAAGCCTGAGTTTGTTAGCCTAGCTCTGTGATGATTATTTATTGCGATTTGTGGTATTGAAGGACAGTACTTGTTCTAAAACAGATTTGAATGAATTAGTTTCGTGCTAATATGTGATACATTAGTTAAGCAATTTTGAGATCATTGGTATTTCCATAATTTTATATTTACTATTTCAAGAATATGCCCTGCTACATGATCATAACTAATTAGTATGCTGTAAGCAAAGTTACTGCTGCTATATATTCATTGTTCTGGATTGTCCAAGGCCATTATTCTTTTTTCTATTCTTTTAATGAGTTGTATAATATGAATCAATGTTTTTGTGTTTATACAGGCTTTGGAAGTTTAAACAATTCAGATCAAAATCCAAGTTTGCTGTCTTTAATTTTCTAGCAGACTTTTCTTTATCTTCCATGGCATATCCTTTCTCAGATTCCAAGTACTCAGATGGCCTCACTGTAGTGGGTATCTCCTTCTGCACAGCTATTATCTGTGAGATCATCTCATGGGTTCTTATCTATCGTACCAATTCTTACAAGAACCTTCGGTCCTCCATTGACAAAGCCTCCAAGAAACTTGAGACCATGAAGACGGACAGCAACAAAATCAACATTAAGAAGTCCAAGACCAAAAAAATCGATCGTGTTGAGACAAGCCTCAAAGAATCAAGTCGAGACTTGTCTCTCTTCAAGTTCAAGTCTGGGGGTGTGGTGGCTCTGGTTCTCTTTGTGGTCTTTGGGTTGCTAAATTCGCTATTTGAAGGTAAGGTAGTTGCAAAATTGCCCTTCAAGCCTTTTGGGCTTATTATGAAAATGAGCCATCGAGGTTTGCAGGGTAACGATCCCACTGATTGTTCCATGGCCTTTCTATACTTCTTGTGTTCCATTAGCATCAGAACAAATTTGCAGAAGTTCTTGGGTTTTGCACCTCCAAGGGGTGCAAGTGCTGGTCTGTTTCCAATGCCAGATCCAAAGACCAGTTGATTGGGTTCAGTGCTATATTTGAACTTTTTATCTTGTTGTATCTAGGGTGAGGATAATTTGGAACTGCATAACTTTAGTCATTTATATTTCATTTGGTTCTCTTAGGGAGACCAACGTGATTTTAGTTGTTATCACTGGTACTGAAACCCGTCAACTACATTTTACAGTGATGATTTGCTTGTTTTTTAAGTTTACATTTACCTACTCAAAAATATTCAGGATTTTCGTTTTGTTTTTACTATCTCTTTAGGAGAGTGGATAAAATTATCAATCTAAATTTCATTTATTTGATTTTAAATTATCCTTATCAATGACAATTATCAAAAAGATTTGCATAGAATTGCTAACGGAGCTCCTAATGGTTTTTGGAAGAAATTTGATTCATCGGTTTGCTTCGCTCAAGCCCCCTTATGCGTGAGCATTTTTGGGTTTTTAATGTAGCTTTTATGATTTTATGAAGGATTATATCTCGATGTACGTGGATAAGTATCTCTTATGGATCAACGATTAAGATCCCATGGTTTAGCTGTTTAAATCCAAATTTTAACCATTGATTTTTGAATATTTAGTGGTATTAATTTATTGAAAATTAATAATTAAATAATGTAATTTAATAAATTATAATTGTTAAATTACGAAAATTAATGATCAAGATTTCTTATAAGATTTATTATTCTCATATCCGTGTAAGTTGTTTATGTCTATATATATATATATATATATATATATATATATATATATATATATAGGGATTAATGTTTTTCTTGTCACTGGAAACAAAGTTATCTTCTGCCGCTCCAAAATGATATCGTTTTGGATTAAAGATTAAAAATAAATGATATTTTAGTAAAATGCATGATTTAAACAAAAGAGATAGAATATTGTTACTATCAATATTGGAATCACAAAAAAGTTAAAAATCTACTTTTTTTTTTTTTTTTTTAAGTTAAAAGTTTTAACTTCTAAAAAAATAAAAATCAAAAGTCAAATATTTTTTTTTTCAAAAACTAAATATTTTTATAAAAATATAAAAAGCTTTAATTTTTGTAAAAAATATTTCTAAAACAAAGAAGAGATAAAAACTACTTTTTCTATAAGCTCAAACAAAATAAAGTTTTATCAAATTTGAACACAAGTACAGAAGTTTATGCTTTAGACTAAATTCATTCATTCTTAATTTAACCTTTGCTTCTACCAAAGAAAATAAAGAGAAAGAGAAAAGGGATATACAGAAGAAGAACACTAACCAGTGCAGGTATTCCCTCAAGAAAGGGTTGCTATGGCTAGGTGCATCAGCATCCACCATAACCTGAGATTCAATCATAATAATAATAAAAAATAAAATAATGTAGATATGGCATTAATTAAGACTTTGTATTCAATAGCTAGTTACTACTTACCGCCAGTGTAGATAGGGCTGTGCATGGGTCAGGTCGGGTCAAGTTTTTGTCCTACTCGACCCAACTTGGTTTTTATAGGTCAGATATTTTGACCCGACCCGCTTTAATTTGATCCAAGTCAGGTCTGACTTTGATTGGATTTTGTTGAACTAGTTCAGAACCAGTTTGGATCTGACCTGACTTGGTTTCTGAAGTGGGTCTGACTTGGTTTCTGAACTGGGTCAAATCTGACCTGACCCGTTTTTGACTTGACTTTCTCACAAAATTTTGTCGAAATTTTTACGTTGCAAAAGACGAAAATTTCGTCACAAAATTATTTTTTCGTCGAAATTTTTACAAAAAAAATTTTCTATTGAAATTTAGTTTCCGTCAACAGTTTTGACGAAAATGATTTCTTCCATCAAATGTTTTAAACGAAAAAAGAATTTTGTCAAAAAATTTGACAGAATGTTTTTCGTTCAAAATTTCAATGGGAATGTGTTCTGACGAAAATTTTGACAGAAATTATTTCAAGGGAAATGTTTCATTTGAAACTTTTGACGAAATTTAGATTCTCTAAAGAATTTTGACAGAATATTTTTTTCATCAAAATGTTTTTTTTGTCAAAAAAATTTACGGAATTTTTTTATAGAAATGTGTTTCGTTGAAAATTTTGATGGAAATTTTTTACCAAAAAACTTGACGAAAATTTTTAGTTGGAAATTTTCGATGGAAACGTGTTTCGCTAAAAATTTCGACATTTTTTTTTTGTCAAAAAATTTAATGAAAACTTTTTCGACGAAAACTTTCACCGAAATTCGAAATCTTTACAGAATTTTGATGAATTTTTTTGCCGTCAAAATTTTTTGATGACGAAAATATTTTCATCGAAAACTTTCGTCAAAATTTGAAATCTGTAAAGAATTTTGATGAAATTTTTTGCCGTCAAAATTTTTTGATGACGAAAATGTTTCAGTCGAAAACTTTCGCCAAAATTTGAAATCTGTAAAGAATTTTGATGAAATTTTTTGCCGTCAAAATTTTTTGATGACGAAAATATTCCCGTCGAAAACTTTCGCCGAAATTTGAAATCTGTAAAGAATTGTAATGAAATTTTTTCCGTCGAATTTTTTTGATAGAAATTGTTTTGAGGAAAATGTTTCATTTGAAACTTTCGACGAAATTTAGATTCTCTAAAGAATTTAGACAAAATATTTTTTCTGTCAAAATTTCTTATCGAAATATTTTTTTCAAAAAAGTTTACGATTTTTTTTTACAGAAATGTGTTCCGTTGAAAATTTTGATGGATATATTCTTTATCAAAAAACTTGACGAAAATATTTAGTCGAAATTTTTTGATAGAAATGTGTTTCGCTAAAAATTTCGACGAAATTTTTTTTTGTCAAAAAGGTTAACGAAAATGTTTCCGTCGAAAACTTTCGTCGAAATTTGAAATCTGTAAAGAATTTTGATGAAATTTTTTTTCCGTCCAAGAATTTCGATAAAAATGTGTTTCGTCGAAAGTTTTTATGAATATATATTTTTTGTGAAAAATTTTGACGAAATTTAGATTCCGTAAAAAAATTTGACAAAAAAAATATTCCGTCAAATTTTTTTACCGATATGTTTTTAGTCACAAATTTTGATGAAAATATTTTCCATAAAAAATTTTGACGTAATTGTTTTACGTTAAAACTTTTCTTTTAATGTAATTGTGATTTTTTTCACATAATGGGTATGGGTCAAGTTTTGGGTCAGTGAGTCAATATTAAAACGAGTCAGGTCTAAAACTGACCCAAATAAAAGTGGGTCAGTATTTAAACCAGTTCAAAAAATATGGATATTTATGGGTCGGGTCAAGGTCGGATCAAGGGCAGGGCAAGTGAATCAGTTTTTTTGCACACCCCTAAGTGTAGAGAAGGTTCTGAGGTCTTCACCATTAACAGCAACTCTTCGGCGGTTAACAACTTGAGAGGGCCTAAGTTGACAGCCATTACTAATCTCTCTGTTATTGATGACAACTCTTAGAGAAATTTACTTGTGAATGTTCAAATATCTACTTATAAACCCTAAACCCTGCATTCTTGTACAAAGCAATTTATGATTTTACATAATGCCAAAATCATATCATATTATGATTAAACAACATATGATTCCTTGACTAGTATATTTTTTCATAAAATTAATTTTTTGTCGAATATTTCCACGAAAATAAAATTCCGTGGAAAGGTTTTCGATCGAAACTTTCCATCATCGATAACAACAAATTGTATTCCCTCTCTCCTTCCGTGTCTATTTTTAACAAAAATTATTTTCGTCTTATTTTTGACAGAATATATTTTTTGTACAAAATTTTATCATAAATTTCGACGAAACTTTTTCCATCGATAATATGACATTTTCTAATAAGGGTTCTATTAATCTCCTTTTACATAAGATAGGTATATTATGTTGTAGAGAGAAACTAGGTGGGTCCTACCATTACAAGAAAAAAGAAAAAGAAAAAAAAAATGAGGTGCAAAAATCGAAGTGAAAAAAAATGAGATAAGTTACCTCATGTAAAAGGAGACTAATATTTCCCTTCTAATAATGCGATTAGTGCTAGAAGAGAATGGAAAATAATAAAATAAAATAGTGTCTATTCTTGAAACCGTTACATGCAAGTCCAACCCAAATAAGTTTTGTATAAGCGAAAAATATTTTTTCAGCCATTTTGAGATAGGTTATCTTAAGCTATTCCTTTTAACTATGTCTCACTGGTAAGATATAGTTATTATATTAAAGTTATTTTTTTAACTTTTCACGTCAGCAGACAAATTCTGAAAAGTGACTAAAGAGAGAAAAAAAATAACTTTAACGTTGTAATTATATCTTATCGATAAGACATAATTAAAACGGGTAGTTTGAAATAATCTTATCTCAAGTTGTTGTGGGAGAAATGTTAATCCCTCTATATAATCCTATTACTGTAATTTTTCTTGGGACCCACACGGGGCAATCAACCATCGAAGGCCTCTTGGTTTACCCGCTCTTATAATACCATTCTTGAAAATTAAAATTGTGTTTGTGAGAAATAAAATATATCAAATGAGATGTCATTACGTAGATCTAAAAAATTTATGTAAAATCAAAAAAAGAATTACCTGAATTGGATACCCGAGTCATAAGTTATGGTATTCAGAAGTTTTATGATTAAATTATTATTTTTTTTAGAAAAAAATGACACGTGTCAACCTTAGGTGAGAGACGCCCCATTGGGGCGTCTTCCCTTAGGTGAGAGACGCCTAAATGAGGCGTCACATGTGACGCACAAAAAGGCGTCACATTGCGTAATAAATCCGTAATTATTTCTAAAACTATAATAAATACTTAATTATTTAATTAAAATACAATAATTAAATTTTTTTGCCACGCTTTCTTCCTATCATTTTCGATCCTCTCCATTATATATAATAAAGTTTCTGCACATCAAACTCAGTTCTAAATTGACTAACTCGTCATGATTTATGATATTTATATAACCTGTTTGGTTTGCGCCTAGTATCTAGCATGGAAATGCATAGTTAATTGAACATGTCTGGTTGATTTTTTGGGTGAAAATTTTTTTAACTCAATGGTCAGTAAAATTAATTCTATGAGATTTTTAAATTTTTTAAAAGTATGCTTTTTTTTATACATAAAGTATACTTATATTTATAAAAATAATTCCATTTTATCATCTATATGAACAAAATTAATTCTTTTTAAACTCAATTTAAAATTTATTTTTGAATACAAGTTATTTTCTTAAACATCAATTCTTTGAAAATCAAATTTTCAACAATTTAAATCAGATGGACCCTTAGTTATTTCATGTCACAATCAATAAATTACTTCAAAAGAAGGATTTATTAGGTATAAATATGCCGTGGTATCACTTCCATCGATGGGGATGATTCCACGCGACTTTGTAGCCAAATGGGCTAGGTTGAAAAGGGATTCTTCATATATTCTTGAATAATAATATTGGGTTTAGTGTCTGTGTGTTTTAAAGGATATAAGTTTATGTTTTTTTCACCCTTTATAACTATATATATCTCAGAGAATACATAATTATAATATGAAAGCTATTTTTTTTTTTACACGTCAACTACAAGTTTCTGAAATTTTTTTGAAGAGAGAGAGAAAAAAATACTTTAATATTATAATTATGTATTCTCCAGAGTACATGGTTATAAAGGGTGAAAGGACATAAGCTTATATAATTTAAAAGTACAAATAATTTTTCCAATAATATTATATGCCTATACATTTTATAAATAAAATAAAGTTCTTTGTAAAGACTCTAAGTCTTTTAAAATACATCTAAGGTGAGGTCAAGTGGTTGTAAACCTTAAATATATTTATATATATATATATATATATATATATATATATATATATATATATATAGAGAGAGAGAGAGAGAGAGAGATTAGGTCTATTTCTCTTGATAGGGTGAAGTATATCAACGTAATAATGTTTTTAGATACAGTGATATGGACTAATTAAAGCTCTATGAAATTAAGGCTGAGAGAGGAGAAATGATAAAAGAGCTGTACGTGAGATAAGTGCACCTATGGAATGAGCTGGTGCGAAGAGTAAGAGATTGTTTACTATGAAAGTTTAAAAATCTCACTTTATGGAGGGAGAAAATTGACCCTTAAATGAGCCTTTAATGGTAAGCCCGTGAGGCTGGTCTAGAACATAAACCATGGATTATTGATAGTGTGCAGGGTTCCATTATTAATTATTGGATTGTCGCGGAGCTTGATCTGTATTATTCCGTGTACAAATTCTTACTTTAATTTTATTTTCAATGTTCTAAGTGGTAACAAATATATATACACTGGTACAGAATAAGAGAAGTCTCTTGCTCCAAGTACGTTAAAATATTTGACATGTAAAAAAAAACAACGAGAAACAAAACAGTTGGAAAAAAAGTGAAAGGCAATAATGTTAAGTAACTTACGTGAAGGAAATTTTATTGCAATAATTTATCAATATAACTATAACATATAAGCAAGTTAATTATTAATCTATAACTATAACTATAACTATAACTATAATCTTTGTCTTATTTTTTTTTCCAGATATTTATTAAAAGAGATTAACCTTCTTTCTCTTTAAATAAAAAAAGGAGAGTACTTATGTATTTATACTCTTTCCATAACTTATTCTCTTCTCCTTCCACCACAACCACGCTCTCTTTGACAGTTGAAATAAACTGCTGCAACAGTTGCCAGATTATTAATTTCGGCAAAGTTTCTTGTGTTGAAATTATGACGCCATTCTGGAGCGAAGACAGTGTCTCTGCCCAACTGTTTGAATAAAACTAACACAAGCCGATGAATCCCTGCAGAAGGTTGCGGGCTCTCATAAAACAAAAGCTCTCTCCCTGCATAAATCTTATTAATGTCACCATATATAATATTCATTGATATACATGAACATCAAAATGCAATCTTAGCTAAAAATTATATATTTATAACATCCAATAACATTTTATAGAAAAATAAATGACTTGTTCAACTGGTGAATAAATTAGAAGTACTTATTATAAAATAAAATAGTTTAAATAAGATAGACTAATATATATATGAGACTTTGTAATTAATATCTAGCTTGGTACGTTTTTGTTTTTGTTTTTGGTTCACTTGCATGTTCTAAGTTAGAAGTTAGGAGTGTTCTCTCTATAACCTGGCCTTATTCATAATCTTCGAATCTCGATTTAGACGAAATGCTTAAAAAAGTGAAAAGGGATAAACTCATAGGTACAGTTTCATAATTTGACGGTTGAATTGAATAAACTACAAATTTGAAACATATCAGTTTGTTCAATCTTTAGATTTGATTTCATAGGATTGAACTTAACACGTGCATTATACAGTTGTTTTAACGTTCGCAAAAACATATTTTCAACTGCATTACACCGCTTTTATTTCATATAATGATTGGGCTTATTTATTTCTTCATGGAAGATATTTCTAAAATTAAATCAATATGCAAATAAGAGATACGTTATATGAAAACAAAATAAATATTCTATGAAACTATAATAGGACGAAAGTGGTTTTATCAACTGTCAATATGTCATGACACCGGCTTTGCTCTTCCCAAATCAACCCCCCATAAAACAAACATATTTCAACTTTATGATAGATAATTATAAAATTATAATAGTAAATTTACATGAAATAAGATTATATTAATAAAAAGTGATTTTAGTTCAACAGTAATATGCTTATCGTCATATTAATTTATTTTTCCTATAAATTAATTTTTATAGTATAATCCCTCACGTATCAAATTTACTTCAATTTAATTATTCCTTCTGTTGTACCAAAAAATAAAAAATAAAAAATTATCCCTTCCGTAATCAAAACTTGCCTCAAATTCATCTCAAGTGTCCTGAATTGAGATTGTAAGGCTTTGATCAACGATGAATTATATTATAAAAATGATGGGACTAAATTTAAAATGAAAAAATAATGAGACAAGCAGGGAAATAGAATATTGGTATTTACTTACCAAAGCTTGCATTTGTGGTAGCTGGAATATCTGTCACCATCCTGCGACTCCGTTAAAAGGAGAAGAATGATGATAACAAACGAATATTAATAAAATAGGACACAAAGTTTTATCAAATTTGAACACAAGTACAAAAGTTTATACTTTAGACTTTATACATATTCCCTAATTTCATTCATTCGTTTTTTATTTAACCTTTGCTTCTACCAAAGAAAAGAAAGAGAAGGAAAACAAGGATATACAGAAGCAAGAACACTAACCAGTGCAGGTACTCCCTCAAGATAGGGTTACTAGGGCTAGGTGCATCAGCATCCACCATAACCTGAGATTCAACCATAGAAAAAAATAAAAAAATAATAATGCAGATACGGCATTAATTAAGACTTTGTATTCAATAGTTAGTTATTACTTACCAGTGTATAGAAGGTTCTGAGGTCTTCACCATCAACAGCAACTCTAGGGCGGTTAACAAGTTGAGAGGGCCTAAGTTGACAGCCATTGCTAATCTCTCTGTTATTGATGACAACTCTAAGAGAAACAGTGCTTGTAAAAGGGTTAAGAACATCCCCTATCACACCTGCAACAACAAGAGGGTCCCCTTCACGAGCCATGATCTAGATAGTCACACGTACTGTACCTTGTTTTTTTGGCCTGCTTATGTATACACCAATATATATATATATATATATATATATATATATATATATATAGTTGGTTCTTATTAGCATCTGCTTTTGCTTTTGTCCCATCAATGGATTCTTCAATTTTCCTTTTTTTTTTTTTTTTCTGCGTTGTCTTAGCCATTTTCTCAAGCAATTACACAAAAAAAAGGGTAAGATCCATTAAGAAGAAGGGAGGAAAAAGAAAAAAAAGTGAATGTCATTCATTTTTTATATGTTGCATATATAATTTATTTCATCTAACATGAAAAACACATTTCCCTTTATTTTCAATAGTAAACTCAACAGTCTATTACTTTCCTTTTTCTTTTTTCAATAAACGAAATTTTTTGGTGCATGGCCAATTGAACTTTAGAGGGCGTTTGGTACAGGAGAATCTTTTTTTAATCAGATAAATATAAATAGTGGGGAAATAGTTGTAAACTAAAATTAGTGGAAAAAATTTAAAAAAGTTGTTTGGTAGACCAAAATATTACCAGAGAAATTGATTTAAATTTTCGAATTCCATATTTGGTCGAAGGTAAAATATAGATGGAAAATAGGTTGAAATTACAAAATTAACCTTTTTTATTTTTTGAATCTGATCAACCCTTGCCCAAAATGACAGTTTGTAAAAGCCAGCTTAATTGATGTCATTGTTTCAACAATTTTTACTTTGCTGGAACCCAAAATACGTACTCAATTTTTACTTCCCCAGCAAACTCCCAAAATACAACCCTCAAAATGGTTTTCTCGAACAGTACAAAATAAGAAATTTTGCAAAGAAATCAAGTTGGGTGGGGAAAAGATTTTGCTATGCATAATTTTTGTAACTCTTGTACCAAACTTACGCAAATTGAAAACCCATTTCAAGTTGCCTAGGTATCCTTGCCAAAACCCCCTACCAAACACTCCCTTAAAGGTGGGCAAAATTTCAAATTCAACTCATAACAAGGACTTTGTATTTTTGTTCGAAAAAATAATATTGTAATTGATTGAACTTTAGTCATATATCAAGTTACATATATGTTAGATATTCTCTATATAGGCAATATTAATTAATTGATTGTGTTTTAAAATTAATTGGGTTGATCGATATTCATATTTCAATTATTTTGATTAGTCTATTGTGATTATTATGAGTTGGGCTTTTAGTATATGTTGGTATTCGGTCTAGTTGGATAGTAGTGTACATTTTAGTATGACCTCGGTTTTCATTATAGGTGGATTCAGTGGATACAAACTTTTTTTAGAGTATTTGGCTAGGTCTCATCTCTAGCCTATTTATATTGAGATTAAGCCCTATGTGTCATCATGCTCTTATTGCAAGAATGCTGTCATTTTTTGAATAGGTCATAGAGAGAAAAATCCTATCGCATCAAGTTGCTTCTTGTTCTCCAACTATGTGATGACCCAATAAGATACGCACAATCACAACTTTAATTTCATATTATTTAGTATTTTATAATGACATGCATAATTCATAACTTGAGTTTCATCAACATATTTATAGGTAAATACTTCCCTAAATAGTGTTTCTATTAATCATTCTCTGGTCATTTTACGATCTGATTTCTTTTCAAAATTTTCAGGCCCAAAAACTCATCCATTAGATATTAATATTTAAATATTTAATGGTTTCTTTCAAAAAATCATAGTTAGTGACATCGAGTTCTAACAAAAATAATTGGTTAAAGTAATAAAAAGTTTGTTATCTTTAATTATAGATCTTAGCTAGAGTCTTAGAGTGAAGAAAATGATATTAGAAGAGTTGTGTCTCATTTAGGTATGATACCGATCTAACTGGATTGGTTTTTTTTTTTTTTTCTTTATGGTTTCCCATGGATGTTTCCACCCATTTTGATAAAACTAATCCCCTTTGTGGTGTACAAAGCAAAGTTTTTTTTTTTTTTTTTTTTTTGGAAATCACATGTATTATCCACAAGAGTTAATCCTATTTGAGTCGGGAATATCCATATGGGACCAGCTCTCCCAAAGAAATTTTTTTGCATTCAAATGAATTTGAACCCATGGTATTGCTTAAGCGGAATCAAATATGTATCACTTGAACAAACTCCCTCGGTGAATGCAAAGATTTTTAACCACAACAGTCCGCTCCTTGTTTTTTTTCTAAAAGAAAATAATTACATCCAACTAATCGTTAAAAGTTTTCTCGTAATTAAACACTAGCTTACGTTGGGGAATTCGACCGAGAATTTAGGAAGTTTTGCATGTCTCTTTCGTTCTTCAGAATACCTTGTCTTCGTATAGCAGTTTTTGTGAACTACAAATTATCTATGTTAGAATCTTATTCTCCTCTCTTTCCTCAAGTAAACTCTTATCTATTTTTGGGGTATAATAATCCTCAACTACGTTTATTTTATGGTATACACATTTCAGGAATAATGTATATATGACCTGTTATTGTTACGTCCTTCAAAATGTGGTAGCGCATGCAAATAGATATTGATCGGAAATTAATGGACTTGGACTATTATGTGTGTGGAAGAGGTGGGACATTCCTAGAAATGAATATTTTGTAATATGCCCACTCATGTGTAATGCGTTAGCTTTATTTTATACTAGAATATCTGTGCAGAATTTGTGTCAAGGAGGAAGATGATACAGGACTTAGTTTGTTGCTGTCTTGTTTTTATCTTTCTTAATTTCTATGACATATCACAAATGAATAATACTGGAATATAATCATATACAACCAATTTGCTGAAAAGTTAGTACGTTATTCTTCAGATGGAGAGGTTGTCCACTCAAGCGTCACATTTAAACTTTTCTGCCAACGAAAAATGCTTATTTGCTGAAAGTTAGTACGTTATTCTTCGTATGAAGAGATTGTAAACTCAACCAAATGGTGGTAGCTCAGTTGGCGCATGGGAGCTGAGCAGGTGGGGGTGAGGATATGTGTTCGAATCTCCCCAGTACTACCTTTGGGAGGGATTTAAAGCCTTAATTCTAGACCCGCCCCGAATCGGACTAATCGCGAAGCGATGAACCGATGGAATATTTCAAAAAAAAAAAAAGAGATTGTAATAAACTCAATAGTCAATACACTCATCAATACATTTTTTTTTTGGTATCCTTTTTTAATATTTTTTTTGAGGTATATTTAAGAGTAAATATCCTTTTTGGTCCTAACAAAAAACTCGGTCCCTACTTTAGTCCCTTACAAAAATAAATTAGTCAGTTAGTCCCTAATAAATTCAAAGTGGACCCATTTAGTTGAAATCGTGGTCCCTCACAAATTTAAAAAAGACCTATATTAGTCCCTCAAAATGACTAAAATGGATCCACTTTGAATTTGGTAAGGACTAACTGACTAATTTATTTTTGTAAGAAACTAAAATTGAGACTATATTTTTTGTTAGGGACAAAAAAAAGTATTTAGTGTATATTTAATTAAGATGTGTTTCAATGTATCCACCAAAAAAAAGAAGAAGATGTGATTCAATGTAAAATATAGAAGTATAACCTCACATGTAAAAACTGCTGGATCAAAACGAAAACGAAGACTAAAGATTCATTACAAGTTGCACGATACCAGTTTGCACACCGCACAACATCTCCTTCCATACACCATGCTCTGGAAAGTCAGGCTTGTGATTCTCTATTTACAAAGGACAAAGAGACGAATCATTTACATGTGATGTCAAAAAAAAGAAACTACAATTGCGAATATCCTAACCGAATCTTTTTTGACTGACTTCAAGTCTTCAACCACAAATGAAATTTTGCGTTGGATTCCATTTTTTCAATATCCAATTGATCAGTTGCAGCTTCCATATTCTTTCGCAAACAGTCGAAGGTCTACAAAAAATATGAGGACCACGCAATTGACAAATAGATTTGTGAATCAAATGCTTTTTCTTTATACCTGCTTGTGTTTACATTGTCTTCTAAATATTCTGAAATAATATCTTAGTGCCCAAACATTGTCTTCGTTAACAAAGCCCAAACTCTCATCTATATCCCTTTTTTTACAAGCTCTAAAATAAAAATAAAATCTAACAATTCCACTAAAAGGTGGAAGTTTAAATTTGATATACTCACTTAATTAATTATTATTTATGTATTGACATTTTTATATATTTTAGGTCCTAAGTAAGTTTATTGTAAGTATTGTCAATAAACATAGTATATACTTATAAATAATAATGTATTCATGTGATTCATATAAATAAGAAGGCAAGAGTTCAAGGAAGATTTGGATTTGCATGAGCATGTAGGATCATTGTGTTGAGGTGTGTTCCTCCATTAATGTTTGGTGGTTAAGCATGTACCATATATGTCTCAGTGTCTCAACAACCACCACCTCAATGAATGTTACCTATCTCATTATGAAGAAGATTCTAAAAGAAGGCCAATGAGTTTTCACCTCACTTATATAAATATAAGAAACCTTTTGTAAAAGGTTCTCTGAGATAGAGACTTGTGTAAAAATCCTCTGAAACGAAGATTGGTTGTGTGACCTCTTTAAAGAAGAACATTATAACTACTAGTATTGGTGAAATTTAAGTGAGAACCTCTAATGATACTAGGGAAGTTTGACGATTGTAATTAATCCTACTATTTCATAGTGAGATTATTCTGGACTATTCCCGTGTTTTTACTCTTCTGCATTAGGATAGGTTTCCACTTTAAAATTGCTGTACTACTTTATGCATTTTCTTTGTTTTGGGCAAGGCCGACCTATTGACCTTCAGGCCGATCTCCAAGTGTCGATCTCCTAGCTCGACTTTGTGATTTGTAACTCGTTTCTGCGCTGATTGATTGAGGGACCCGTTCCAACACATTGTCGTTTTGGATGCTAATAAATTATCATAGTTCATCAAAAGAAAGGGCATAACTCTAGCGTATGTGCGCATAATATATATCCTTATCTACTGTTAATCTCCTCACTGTTGGGACTCACAGCAAGTGCACCGATCGTATAAGTA